GATTATTATAGTAGTACAATTCACATAACAGGATTATTATATAGTAGTACAATTCACATAACAGGATTATTATAGTAGTACAATTCACATAACAGGATTATTATAGTAGTACAATTCACATAACAGGATTATTAGGATTATTATAGTAGTACAATTCACATAACAGGATTATTATAGTCGAACAATTCACATAACATGATTATTATAGTAGTACAATTCACATAACAGGATTATTATAGTGGTACAATTCACATAACGGGATTATTATAGTAGTACAATTCACATAACAGGATTATTATAGTAGTACAATTCACATAACGGGATTATTACAGTACAATTCACATAACAGGATTATTATAGTAGTACAATTCACATAACAGGATTATTATAGTCGTACAATTCACATAACGGGATTATTATAGTCGTACAATTCACATAACAGGATTATTATAGTAGTACAATTCACATAACATGATTATTATAGTAGTACAATTCACATAACAGGATTATTATAGTAGTACAATTCACATAACAGGATTATTATAGTGGTGCAATTCACATAACAGGATTATTATAGTAGTACAATTCACATAACGGGATTATTATAGTAGTACAATTCACATAACAGGATTATTATAGTAGTACAATTCACATAACAGGATTATTATAGTAGTACAATTCACATAACAGGATTATTATAGTAGTACAATTCACATAACAGGATTATTATAGTAGTACAATTCACATAACAGGATTATTATAGTAGTACAATTCACATAACGGGATTATTATAGTAGTACAATTCACATAACAGGATTATTATAGTGGTACAATTCACATAACAGGATTATTATAGTCGTACAATTCACATAACAGGATTATTATAGTAGTACAATTCACATAACAGGATTATTATAGTAGTACAATTCACATAACAGGATTATTATAGTAGTACAATTCACATAACATGATTATTACAGTAGTACAATTCACATAACAGGATTATTATAGTGGTACAATTCACATAACAGGATTATTATAGTCGTACAATTCACATAACAGGATTATTATAGTAGTACAATTCACATAACGGGATTATTACAGTACAATTCACATAACAGGATTATTATAGTCGTACAATTCACATAACAGGATTATTACAGTACAATTCACATAACATGATTATTATAGTAGTACAATTCACATAACAGGATTATTATAGTAGTACAATTCACATAACAGGATTATTATAGTGGTACAATTCACATAACAGGATTATTATAGTGGTACAATTCACATAACAGGATTATTATAGTAGTACAATTCACATAACGGGATTATTATAGTAGTACAATTCACATAACAGGATTATTATAGTAGTACAATTCACATAACAGGATTATTATAGTGGTACAATTCACATAACAGGATTATTATAGTAGTACAATTCACATAACAGGATTATTATAGCAGTACAATTCACATAACAGGATTATTATCGTCGTACAATTCACATAACAGGATTATTATAGTAGTACAATTCACATAACAGGATTATTATAGCAGTACAATTCACATAACAGGATTATTATAGTAGTACAATCACATAACAGGATTATTATAGTAGTACAATTCACATAACAGGATTATTATAGTGGTACAATTCACATAACAGGATTATTATAGTGGTACAATTCACATAACAGGATTATTATAGTGGTACAATTCACATAACAGGATTATTATAGTGGTACAATTCACATAACAGGATTATTATAGTGGTACAATTCACATAACAGGATTATTATAGTGGTACAATTCACATAACAGGATTATTATAGTGGTACAATTCACATAACAGGATTATTATAGTCGTACAATTCACATAACGGGAGTATTACAGAAAGACTATTCACGTAACGACCGTTTTTCGTCGTAGCAGTTTAGAAAAATCTTTCAAAAATATATATTATTCTACACGAATGTTAAATCAATGTATATTTTTCCTCTCTTCATGATGATGCTATACCAAAAAAATATCAGTCTCGTGCAGATGAAAATATTCGTCTTTAATTTACGAAATTTTACGCGAAAGTTTAACGTTTTATAGAACGCGACATCTTCAGGCCATACTTGTCGACTTGTAAGACATCAATCTGTCCTGTCCTTATTTAACCTCCTTACCTATAACCTTGTAGGATAGTTTGTGGTAGTGGCCTTGTAAACACGAGCCACAACTACATTAACATAGTATAACGGTCATTAACTACAGTTACGCGCACCAATTAAGGATGTCCACAGTTGAGGCACCGAAAGGGGCTACTCGAAAAACATTTCGAGAAACAACATTTAGACTCTGAAGTTCCAATACACAACAAATACATGATGAGTATGTCGTATGTACTTCATCATTATACCAACATTTGGGTATATTAACTGTTGGAATCCATTGGATATCTCCAAGACACCATTTCCCTCAAAAACTTTTAAAATTACCCTATTGATGTCCGATGTCATATCTTTTGCCATAAATTTTCATGGTCACGACCGGTCACGCCCACTGGACATGGTATAATCGACACAAACGATACACCGGCGACCAAACAACCAATAAAACAAGCGATATGAAATAAACATGGGTCGTGTTTTTGATCGGCATGTTAATAATTATACGTTTTGTGAGCAAACGGTTGTTCCGACTGTATCGACGTTTCTTTGGGAGACAGAGCGTTTTATTTCGTGTTGTATGTAGTATAACTGGAACTTTATTGAATTTAAGAGGTAAGTAGCATTAATATTCAATTATCTTTATTTTATCTTTACACATAGAAATGCTATTTCACGAAAATATGAAAAAAAAATTACCGTAAAACGAAACCTTTTTCATAATAAATCTCAGCCCGAAGGGTTCTGACTGTCTATCCGCGATTTCATTTTTGTTTTTTGTTTTGGTCGAAAATAGCGGACAGATAGTCATAACCCTTCGGATTTAATAAACAACGAGATCTGTGTAGGTTTTACAGTTCACAAGTTCACGTGTAAGCGAAAGAAACTATGTAAAATAATTCCTTAACACGCAACATTTCTGCTTCGAAGTACTCAAAACATTGAACATGGTAGAAGTGAATAGCACCTTTTAATATAAATTTAGGATAGGTAACTTTAGAGATAAATCACACTGTACCATATATTGTTTTAGGTGTATGATTTGTCCGTGATAATAAAATATATGTTTAGAATAAACAAATTACATATCCGAAATACAGATAGAAAGTCAAGTTGGGTAACGTGATATACAAAGCAGACATAATAGATAGGCGAATGTCAACGATGTAGCAAAAGACGCTCATCCTCTTGGAACACCTGATTTTTTTCTCCGTAATTTTTTCAAGGATTTCCTTGCATTTTTCTCTTTTGTTCACATTTATCCCCCGCGAAACGTGTTTGTGGGAGATATTAATTTGGGCTCCGTCCGTCCGTGCATCCGTCCGAGGGCTCTAGTTGTGCCTTTTGCTATTGACATTTCAATTTTTTTAAAGAGAGATAGTTGCATAAATTTGTTTATGAACAATACCAAGCTCTATTCAAATAACAACAGTGAAATACACAGGATCTACATCAAAATATAAACTCTTACTATAAGGTTGATATATGATATATATTTATAAAACTGTGGAAGTTGAGGGGATGCAAGGAAATTTAATTGATAATTGACAAAGGAAGAAGTTACATTCTGACGCTGCTTTCACGGTGTTAGATCTTTAAGTAATAGTACCGGTCCACAATTGAATGCATGTCATATTTTGGTTTTACACCAGCAGGGGATAATGCCAAACTTTGCGGCTCCTCGTTTGCACTAGTTTCATCGACTTTGAGTTTGAATTAATTGTAGGTTGGCACGTCGCTATTTCCATCGTGATGTTTTGCTCTAAGGTAAAATATACCACTAAAATATCGCGATTTTTTTATTAGTATTTTGTCGCAAAACCTTAAGGCCATTACAATATTATAAAACTAATATTTGAACGACTATTACAGTCGTGTCGTGATCTGGTGACAGGGTGAGCATGAACCACCACCAGTAGAGTCATTTTCTGCGGTTTCCTTGAAATTAGATATAGATGACGCTTTGCCTTTTCGGCTGATAATATATCTACGATAACACAAAAAGTCTGTGGTCAAATACTGACGTGTTTAGAATGTTTAATTTCCAACTGTGAATAGTTGTGTTCGTCACGGAATTCGTGATATTGGGAACACACCATTGAATACGGAATAAACTGCGACGGAAGCACTTTAGGTTGGGGAAACATGGATAATAATATCTACAAATGGAAAAATCAAAACAGGGAAATCCGGATTCCTCTTTCTCTGTGTTTTTGTTTATTGGTTATGTAATTTTAACCCAGATAATAAAGTGGGACGTTTTAAGTAAAACGAAACAATCCAAAGCAACACAAAAAATAAGTCTGAGAATAACGAACTTCACAAGGAGAAAATTCATACCTAAATGATAAAATTCCTGCTCGTTATAATAACCAGACTTCGCAAGTCTTTTCCCAATTGTCCAGTTGATCATCCGTCACAGTTCAACGACCACGTGATAAGGCAGTGATTACGCGAGGACACTAGTATCTGATACCGCGACAGCCATGCCATCATGTGACCATTTATATAAAAACCATTTATTTCTCTCTTCCTTGGTCAGTTAAATCGCGCTTGTCGGCGTTCATTCCCTCGCTAACACGCATTGTCACACATTTGAATGTTATTAAATTGTCTAAGCGACTTATTAACGAAAATCAAGGCCTACAAAACACCGCACATCATAAATGACTCCGATGTAACCCATACATGCATCTACTGACCGTTCAGTACCGTGTTTACTGCTGACCTTTATTGTACAGCTGATTAATTGTTCAATTGATATGACAACTATATCGTTATTGCCTAGTAACAAAGCCTGTTCGCTGGTTCTCTTTAGGTTTCTTCTTATCTCAATGACGTTTTACCCGCCAATTTTGTTGGTCCTGCTGCTGACTCTAAGGGAGACAACTGCAGCTGTCGCAATCGTCAGGAGTTGGGTTCCTTCTCGGCGAGTACAAGGTAAGCTGATACACATGTATTCGAACGGGATTAATTTAGTTTTTATTAGAATCTTTACGATTGTTAACAGAATACAATATATGAGTGTGTGTCCAACTAACATTTCCGTCTCTGCATTTCATACCATTGATTAGATTTAAATTCTAAAGATAATAGATTATGATAACTGATCATAATACTTACATGGAATTGTGTTCTCTTACGTAAACATACAAATCTGATGTGATAGCAGTCTGTGGGAAGGAAGCGGTGTTGATTCCAGAGTTATATATAGAACAAGTTCGTGGATTCTTCCTGTTGAGACGTTGCGCTTCTGGTTCACTGTTCTCCGTAAACGCATGTGGGTGTGTAGAGAGACTTCCACTCCCCGTGATCACTACCACCACCATCAACCCGGAGACAACTCCACCTCTTACATCACCAGATAACACAGGTACTGATTTAATACGGGTTAAAGGTGTTTTGCCCTCGCCAATTAGTGAGGTAAATTCCAAGCGGTTAGAATTTAGCAACTCTAGTTAAACTAATCCAAACAGGGAAAGATTATGTCTGTAACATTTCGTCATACGACATTTTGTTAGGTCCCCTCAGAACTAGGGTCATCTTTTCTTATTGTCTTGTTTTGAGGAAAGAAGGTACCGTGGCTACTTATGCGATACTAACATTGAGAATCGGGTGCTTCTTTTCTGTTTCTTCGACCAAGGCGAAAAGACCAAAACTGCTCTGGTGCACCCTATGAAACATTTCAATGTTTCTTTTTTGTCTCGTTTGTTATTTCCTGCGTGTATTTTTTTTTCATTCTGCTTTTGTTCCAGTAGACACCCGTCCTCACTTACCCTTGGCGGTAACTAAGCGTTATGATCAAATGTCAAGCTACTTGTGATACGGGGTGTCATCAGGTTACTGTGATATCAGAATTGGAGTCATCTCTAGAAAAGTCTTGCTGACAATTGTGTTCTAGAAGGATTATGCCCTTCCCCTTAGTAGTGCGAGTGTTCCAGATATGCATGCTGGATAGTCGTAGCGTTGAAAAGTTTTCTAGGAAGCAAAATCTGCCTTGTAGTCATGTCTTATAAACTTTCCCCTGGTTGCCATTTTCACGGGAAAAAATCCCTTTGGCATTATCGCGTTCTTCATTATAGAATCTACATATCACATTATCAATATACATCGTTATCGAATGTTACAAAATACTTACCAGTCAACTATTAGAGCAGGCATTCTGAATCTAACAAGAAATCTGTCGTACTCCTATCTGACATACGTCCTTATTCTGTTATCAAATGTTGTTGTTTTGGATTTATTTTGAGAAAAGAAACATTTGTATGCATTCATTGTATTTCTTTCTCCTCAGTCAATGGTTTTTTTTTTTTTTTTTTTTTGTATTTGTTTTCTCTTCGAGATATCTCAAGAAGGTTCCCTCACGATGGTAGCCACGACAACGGTTTCTGTGGACCTTCTTTCCGGTTCCTTTACAACCGAACTACAATGTCTGACGATCGCTCTGTGCCGTCTCTTGCCACCAATTCCGCCCGGTTTGTTCAGCCTGCCGGAAGTGTAGGGGGAACTGCGTTGTTACTCGGCAGGGACGGCTTCTTGACGATCTGGACAATGAGCTACATAACATTTGCCAACCGATTTAAGTTCATGCTTAGATTTAAGCTACAAGAGGACTTTGAGTACCAGGACCGCCTTTACAACTTGTTAGGGGATGGACCCTGTGGGAACTACACTTCAAAATATAGAATCAGTATTAACCCTGTTAAACGGGAGGTGTATGCTGATGTTACACTGAGGAATCGCGCCATGATCAACCTCGCCCTGTCAGACGTGGTATGTAGCACTTCTATCAGGCATATATCATGTACTCACTAATACCTTATTCTGCCTAGCCTCATGAATCGGAAGCGTGATCGGGGTTTAAAAAACAACAGAGACCTTATTCAGATGCAGCTATATGAATAATCGTGAGATTTCTTGTCCATTTAGTGCCATTATTACGTTGATGACCCGAATTCCCTGTAAGTTAAGGGCTCTGTCTCATTACTTATTCCTGTATTTGATTTTCTACTAGTTAGCTGTAAGTAAGCTTTGCAATATTTTATTACAAAATGATCTGGAAGGTCAACGCTGCGCAAAGCGAAATGATGATGTGTATGAGAACAAATATATACTTAAGTTCAGATTTATGTGCCATCATTCAAGGATGTATTGACGACACGTAGTCAAATCACCTTCCATTATGTGTCATCATCCTCTGAATCAAAGCTTGGATGTTTCATTACAGAGGTTAGACGACTGGATAGTGGTGGAACTGGAGGCTGAACGGGGACAGATTCGTCTCGTTATCGATAACAGGGAAAGCACGGGTTACATTGGAGGTAAGTACGTTAAGGTGTTCGAGGGTTTGGCTGATCGTCTCAGTCAATCACTACCCCGAATAACCTTCATCACCATAAGATGTTTTGATGTGTCGGATTGTTTTATAAAGCTGATTTATCCATTGATCATTTCTCCCTGTTCTGTAGCCTCCACCATCAAGTCGTCCCCGTGTCCTATGGAGATCGGGAAGGAATTGTCGACAGCTGCAGGATTTGTCGGTTACATTGACGTGGTAAGATTGTGGTTTTGTTTTCCGTGTTAATTTGTCCAATACTGGCACATAAAGTAACAAGACAGGGTTTCTAGAAATACAGGGTAGCAAGTTTTACGGTCGTCATAAAGATCTCATTGGAAAATATTCTATTTGCTTGTGCGATATGAAGTTTTACGCGTTTGATGCTCGTTCGTAGTCACGGTGGTTCCGTTGTGGTTGATCATGTTCTTGTTTTTGGAACGTTACTTACTTGGATTGACCAAAATGTACATGGCGGGTGTCATCGATAAACCAGAAAACATTATCCCTTCCGGAACGCCTTATGTTATTCTCCTTGTATATATTTATATATTTTTTTTTCATTAAAATTTTGACTCGGTGTTTATTAAGGTGATCATTGTGAGGTTCGTTTACTCCAGCGTTATGTGGTAAAATGTATAACTTAGTTTTTTTCATTCCTGTCTCAGACTTTATGTTGGTTTTTTTTATCATTTCTGTCTCAAACTTTATATTCTTTGTCAGAGCCGTCTGTTCAAAGTCGTTCTCTATGTTTGTCACTCTACAATACTGCTGTAAAGTCCTACCGCTGAGTGATCGCGGCTGATTTTGGTCGTTATGATCCCTGGATCGATGGTGTAGAGAGACGTGCAGAATAATGTTTACCCGTATAACTGTAAAGACGTGGTACACCATACGACAGCTTAGTGTATTGTATGAAAGGAGAGATACTTAACAGACATACAGGCTTGGGTATTAACGTTTCTGGTGTGAATTCGCGCCGATCATTTCCAGAGTAGTACGCTGCGGAGGCGGTATCAGGTAACGGTTCTTAGTGTTTGTTGTCAGGATTGTAGGACGATACAGTAACAAATAACATACGTTAATTTGGTAGAATGATATCGTGCAGTTGTTTTATCCTTCCTGGGTTCACAAACTGAAGATAATTTAAGTATATCTCTATGTCTGAATCATTGCAAATAATACATAATTATTTACGGTCAATGTCGGGAACTAAAGAAAACAAACAGCTGTTTTTCGCCAAATGGCGTTAACGAACGTCAATGATTGTTGGAAATTATCACGGCAGCACATGATTATCATGACTTAAGATATCGTCCGGACATCGGTTTCGGACCGTTATGTATTTCAGAACGGTCATTTTGTCACATGCACTTCTTATAGTATGAACGCATTTCAAGTCATTTATGTATTTGTTTGGTGGCAGTTCATTAACATAGCGAAGCTAGCGAAAAAACGATTCTCAAGGGGTCCGAAACTAATGCGCCAAAGATCCAATATTTATAAAATCTCATTTGTTGTGATAGTAACTTGGATAGTGTGACGTCTTATTTGGACCTGATCACTGTAATCTTTCTATGTTTATCTTCTACTTACAGCTTGCATTTCACAACTGCTTTGGAAACTGAGTGTCTGCATTCATGATGATGTATTTCCGGTGTACGTAAACAAGGTTTACCAATGATTTCCGGTTGGACGTTAGTAGGATAATACAGAATTAGTGTATTCATAAGTGGAATGTGTCACAGCCAGTTAACTGTTGAGTGCCAAAACACCTAGAACACAATCAAATATATGTGATCGTCCACTTTCTGGTATATGGACCGTGCAGGACTGTATACACGCGCGAGTTTTCGGTATTAAATCGTCTTGTACTGAAGATGACGTAAAAACAAAAAACCCAGTTAAATGCTGAAATGATATATCTAAGGCTAACATCATTATAAACATTTTAAGACCTTTGTGTCAATGTGTTCTGTTGATTGTGCTGAGTTGGTACTGTGATATTACACTATCACTGATCTCTGTCTTAGCGTGTGTGATATCATCTAATCAAATATGCTTTCATTAAAACAAACAAATTTATGGGTTACGTTCTTTACATGGTACACACTAACTTGTAAATAGTCACTAATGATTAATTCATTCCTCATAAATGAAACAAAACCAGAAACTAGTTGCTTATTAGAAGATACCTCCAAACATCTCTGGCTACATGGACTGTTACGGTATAATATTGGCGGGAACACTTTTGTTTAGATTAAGTAGAATGACCGTTGCTATGTCTCTTGTACAGTAACAACAAAGACCGACATGTCAACAGAATCGAATTCAAACAAAAGACATATTTACAAGAAAAATCCTGGAAAGTACAATAATAAAACATGTAAATATTGATCAATCCAAGTAATGTCACGTTCTCATGTGAGAACCATGTCCATGTCCTGCAAGGCAATAAAATATCCCTTGATGTGATCATTATGACAAGCATAACACATTCCTATAACATGATCTCTGTAGAAGATACACTTTCAGTACGAATTGAAAAGTACGTAGTTTTTATGAAGAATATGACTATTCGTCAGCAATTCTAGTGACCAATAAAATTTGGAGAGGTCGATTCCAGTAGTAGAATGAGTTTTACCTTAACCACATGCAGGTTTGATATTCGTAACGATACAGTTTCTAGACGAACATCTTTGAAGAGAGAAATGGGCTGTAAGCCAAATATCATCTGCTGATGTTGGATCTCGAATTTCGCGGCATTTTTTCAAAGGATACGAAAATTACCGAGGACATCCCACCTTCCTTTACCCGCGATTCAACCGGAAACCAATGTGACATCACTGCGTGCCACGTCACGACAATTTTTATATATGTGTTTGAGTAGCGGATGGTATCGAATAGGTGACCTTTGACACCAGAGACTAAAGGTCATAAGGTCCATGTACCAGTATCAAATAACATTTTCATGCACAGAAAGACAATGCAAATGGTCCCGTATAGAGTATGGAGAAAATGTTACTGTCGTACACCCTGAAGATTTCCAGAAGACGCTTTGTGTATCCGGAAACAGTATAAGAGAAGCTGCAGTCCTCTCTTAGAGTACTGATGACCTTTTCAAATAGTTTATATACAGCATAAAAGGGAGATAGGTCTAGCGGGATCACAATGGCATTTATTAACACCTTTTAAAATAGGAAGAACAATGCCTCTTGTCTATAAAACAGTCACGAGCTCAAACCATTTGGTAACAGGTTTCAGGCTTTAAATGGCATATTCAATTTCTGTATGCAACCCTTATCTCCCTGAAACACCATAGGAACCAAGAAACATGCTTTGTATCAAAGGTTACAACTATAATTGGATATTCGTAAATAGGTGTGTCCAGATAGGTCATGTCCATCACTGACAAACACAGGTGTGTCCAGATAGGTCATGTCCATCACTGACAAACACTGGTGTGTCCAGGTAGGTCATGTCCATTAAATAGAAAATACGTTTATCATTATTCTACAATAAGCAAATTTGAAATTGTCTGAAAATAATACACATTCGATATTGCTCAACAACAAAACTTTATTTAATATTGTCCTACGATGAAAACACATTTAAAATCATTCTATAATAGGAACACATCTAATATGGTCCTACAATAGAAATGCTCCTGATGTTGAACACATCTAATATGGTCCTACAATAGAAACGTTCCCTATGTGGAACACATCTAATATTGTCCTACAATAGAAACACTCCCTATGTGGAACACACCTAATATGGTCCTACAATAGAAACGCTCCCTATGTGGAACACACCTAATATGGTCCTACAATACAAAAGCTCCCTATGTGGAACACACCTAATATGGTCCTACAATAGAAACACTCCCTATGTGGAACACAACTAATATGGTCCTACAATAGAAACGCTCCCTATGTGGAACACATCTAATATTGTCCTACAATAGAAACGTTCCCTATGTGGAACACATCTAATATGGTCCTACAGTAGAAACACTCCCTATGTGGAACACATCTAATATGGTCCTACAATAGAAACACTCCCTATGTGGAACACATCCAATATGGTCCTTCAATAGAAACGTTCCCTATGTGGAACACATCTAATATTGTCCTACAATAGAAACACTCCATATGTGGAACACATCTAATATGGTCCTACAATAGAAACGTTCCCTATGTGGAACACATCTAATATTGTCCTACAATAGAAACGTTTCCTATGTGGAACACATCTAATATGGTCCTACAGTAAAAACACTCCCTATGTGGAACACATCTAATATGGTCCTACAATAGAAACGTTCCCTATGTGGAACACATCCAATATGGTCCTACAATAGAAACGTTCCTTATGTAGAACACATCTAATATGGTCCTACAATAGAAACACTCCCTATGTGGAACACATCTAATATGGTCTTACAATAGAAACGCTCCCTATGTGGAACACATCTAATATTGTCCTACTATAGAAACGTTCCCTATGTGGAACACATCTAATATGGTCCTGCAATAGAAACACTCCCTATGTGGAACACATCTAATATGGTCCTACAATAGAAACACTCCCTATGTGGAACACATCTAATATTGTCCTACGATAGAAACGTTTCCTATGTGGAACACATCTAATATGGTCCTACAATAGAAACACTCCCAATGTGGAACACATCTAATATGGTCCTACAATAGAAACACTCCCTATGTGGAACACATCTAATATTGTCCTACAATAGAAACGTTTCCTATGTGGAACACATCTAATATTGTCCTACAATAGAAACACTCCATATGTGGAACACCTCTAATATGGTCCTACAATAGAAACGTTCCCTATGTGGAACACAATCTAATATTGTCCTACAATAGAAACGTTTCCTATGTGGAACACATCTAATATGGTCCTACAGTAGAAACACTCCCTATGTGGAACACATCTAATATGGTCCTACAATAGAAACGCTCCCTATGTGGAACACATCTAATATTGTCCTACAATAGAAACGTTTCCTATGTGGAACACATCTAATATGGTCCTACAATAGAAACACTCCCTATGTGGAACACATCTAATATTGTCCTACAATAGAAACACTCCCTATGTGGAACACATCTAATATGGTTCTACAATAGGAACGCTCCAGAGCCAGCATTTGGTGAGTCGGTCCCGGACCCATCCTGACGTTATAAATACGACAATTAACACTTTAATTTGTACATTTACTGTATTAAATTACTGCTGAGTCAACAATACACCTGAACAACAACTATGTATATAAGTTAATGAATACAATTAGAAGTACATCATATACATATGATTCAGATCAACTACTGGTGACAATAAACTATATTTCATTCGTCGTTTTTGCAAGAGTTATTAATTTCAAGAGTGTAAAGAAAATAGTGTAATGCTTACTATATATTTAGAACCCTGGCACGATTGATAAAACATAATACGCTTTTTATTTAGATTCACAATTTACTTGATGCATCACGTAGATAAGTGGAAAATGTGTGTCATCTTCGCTGGCGACAAAGTATACAAAATTAAGTTGTAAATGTATTCTTGAGATAGCTATCGAAACTATACCGGTTTTTCTAGTTCTGGGTATGATTGATTTAATGTTTAACAGAGTTAATATTTTAACAAAATATTTCACAACATTAAGTCAAATGCTTACGACTTTACACATATGGTAAGGTATATTAGTGTCTTAATAAGTCATAATTGGTTGCATCGAAATATCTTACATTCAAGAAGAAATGTTGTTGTATTATTTATATGTACTTTTTAAGAAGTATTCTAAAGAATGTGGCCGAGATGTACCGGTAGACTATTGTCCTCGGAGTGTGGCGTGCAATTGTTTTCGTTGCGATCACATATATGCTCAGTGTCTTGAGTGCAAAACATACCGAGATCGATATCAATTTTTTTTTTATATTTTAATCACAATCATTCATACAAAAAATTAGAATTTTTTTTGTCCTCTATAAAGGGCCTTCGACGTCCATCGGCCAAAGGGATTATCGAGACACCTAAATTTACACCATCGCTCTCGATTTAGATTCATAACTTTGTATTTGTTTTATTTTTTATGTATGTCATGTAATTTACATTATATTATATCTTGATAAAGGGGCAGGTTGCCTCGAAAAATTGACAATTCACTTGTCCGTACTGTCGTAATTACTTAATTGATCATATATGTATATGTCAAAAAAACAATAACAATATTGCTAACAGAATTCTATAATGTAGATTGTTAGTCACTAATAGTAACAGAATAATTATACTATTAACCCAATCTAGTGTATAATATAAACCCTATAAAATTACCACGCAGCGTGTATTAGCCATTAAATAACAACATTTATTGGCTTAAATTATCCTTTTTTCTATTCTTATCATAACATGTGTAAAACCCCATAACACATTCAGTAATATTAACATAAGCAGTGACCTGATTGAGAAAGTGTCGAACTCGTTTATGTATAGAGTTTCTTTTGAAGGCTGTTACACCATTTAATAATTATATAGATATCTAAGACAATCGATAGATCATTTTGTTTGCTGGTTTATATTGCTTTCATTTGAAGTTTAAACAGGATAAAATTTCGACTCTAAAAATACATAGATAAGAGAAGTGTGTCAATTTTGTGTTGAAATTGAAATTCTAAAGAGACATGCATGTGAGTTCATTGTGTGTAAACCTACAGGGGAAAAAGTTATCCTACGAGGTTTCATGAAAACACAGAATGATAATATCCTTTACCACTGTCAGAATTAAGGCACAGTATTGTTCCATCAGTACGATGATATAAATCTTTGTCCGATAAGGCATTGGGGATACTGATTTAAAAAAATATCCCTGTAGTTAGGCTCACTGATAAACCAGAAAAAATAAAAAGTGAACTAACTCGTTATTTCTGCAATATGAAAACGTATGTCATGAATACACGTATAAGACATTGTACCATGATCGTTACTCAATAGCGTCAGTTATTTACAATACAATCCATGGTGTACGAATCCTACTTTCCAATACTCGGAGCCAACAACACCTTGTAATTTGAGTCTTATCCGTACCTAGATAATTACAAGTAAGATAAAAAGCTAAAGACCACCAAGAAAGGTAAAACTTATCTGCTGTTATTTACAAACTTAAAGTTCGATTGTCCGATATCGTACTTATCAATACTAGATCTATCATATTGATGTTTTATGAAATTATGAAATGGTTTAATTGATAACTGAGACTTAGGCACAATTTTTCGTCTTTTGTGAAAGATCAGTTCCTATTTACGATAAGTTAAATGATACGACATGTAAACCTGAACAACAGTGTTATAGGTCGGGTAGAGCCTCTATTCGGAATATGAGGGGAGGGGTCCAAAGCATTTTAAACATGTATTTTGGGCATCTCCTTGAATACGATTTTGTAAAAGACTGGTCCCCGATGACGCCCTTGGCACTACAGTGCAGCACTGCCTATGGCGGGGACAACAAGCTTGCAGTCGAGGGAAAATAGGTAAAATTATAAAATCGTCGAGAGGGTTGTGTGTCTTTTCCTCACCGCCCGGATTTACCCATGAATTTTATAATTCACACGCACACATTAGATCCGGATAGTTCCTGCTAAGCACCCGTGGTTTCTTTAATTAATTTTAAATTTTATTTAACTAGTTTGTAATACTTTTGATCCCTGAATGCAACATCATGAAAGCATGGTTTAACGTGGTAATTTTCGTGACGTTGTGGATAGGCGTATTACATCGTCAGTGTTTCACCTCGGTTCTCGGATCTAAAATATTGACGTTAGCCTGTGGTATCTGTTCTGACTAATCTTTCTCGGCCATATGATTTGGCCCGGGTGTCTTGGTTATTTATTTTACGGATATCATATATCAATGTCATAAATTTGTGACCAATTCTTGCCTCTAAGTCAGTGTTACGTCGTCTGCTATAGAGTTTATCTCCCTTCGACCAAGGTGCCTGTTTTTCACTCGGAAACTCTCAAGGGCTTTCCTTTTCATGCAGATATCTCATAACATACGAGTCACACGAACGGGAAGAGGTCGGTGACGAGGGTGTGCCGGTGTGTTGTGTTGCTCTCTGGAGTTGAACAGGATATTTAGATAATAATGAGATAATTTGACAGCCAAATATCCAACATGTCACTCCACGTGCTGGTTATTGGGGCTACTAATGTCCCAAATGTAGAGAAATTTGGAGAAAGCGACCCATATGCATCTATCGAATTTAAAGGTAGGTAAAATTCGACAGTCCATTCCCAAAACTCTCTCAACCGTGCAGACGAGCCCTACCACTGGTGCATGTGAAAGTCGAGTTATCTTTTACAAAATATAATATATATTGCGTTGACTTGTTATATTAATTTAAAGTTTAAAATTTTGTTTACAGGTGTATCAAAGAAGACCGAAGTGGTGAAATCGGAGTTAAACCCGACATGGAATGAGGTGAGTAGGGAGTATGAAACCTCTCGTGCTTAGTGAGGCGTAAACCCACATCTTTATTAAATCGTCTGTCAATACACCAATGTATGGTGACTGTACACCCACATTGGCACAGTGTCACACTATGTGTCACGCTGCTGTGTCATATATAGATACGTAGGAACTTATGGTCAGTTCATATAGATGCAATACACTGAGTATGCCTAAACGGCCTGCAGGGGTCAGTCGTGTGCAAACAACATATACATACTTGGCAGATTTTGGAGTTCAAGGCCACAAATCTTGCGTACTGCTGCTACAGTATGTAAGGTGTATGAGGCCTTTACAAATATATGTGTGATTGCCTGAAGTGTTTATAGCCTGTAGGTCTATATGATAGCTACACCCCGCTTTATAACTAATTACAGATAAAATGTGTGTCAGGTTTTAATTGCTCAGAACTATCGCTTCTTTCTGGTTTACAAATTTAAGGAGTATAACCTAAGACATTTGCATTTGCAGCACTGACGACAACAGGGTTGTGAATACCCTAACGAAAGTCATGGCCTATGTTATATTGTCTCATGGTATTGAGAAGAATGTCCTTAAATGTTACAATACCAACTCCAAAATGTGCCAGTATAACATTCTCAATTGATATATGTTAGAACCAAATTTGTTGTTTCTTTCAGGTTAAAATTTACCATTATTAGAAAGCCACGAGATTCTGCGGTGTAGTTTGAGTCAGGCAGACTTTTTTATCTACCAATAAAAAATTGTATCAATAATGTATAGCAGGTACATTTATGTAGTGTTTTACTAACAGTACCTGAATATGTTGATGTGACAGTAAGTGTAACATGTTGTACATATGTTCCTGTAAATCAATAAATTACCATACATAGTCATTAACATTGATTGCACCCAGAGATAATTCTATTGGTACCTTTTATAAATACCTTGTACCATGGCTATTTCTGCCATTCTGTATCTTTGATTGTGAAAAAAACTACCATTGTATCACTGCCCTGTGATAAACAAATAAGTTCTGTGTCATTCCCTACATAGAGATAATGGATATATATAGGTCATAATATAGTCACTACAGATCTGTAGAAATGCTTATAAATGGGCAAGGAATGGGACTAAATATTTAATCATTCATCTTTGTTGAATACTGATCTATTGGGTAATAAGTAATCTAGTGTAATCTACAGAGAATTAGTCACAGCTTCTCATCCCCCATTATAGAGACAACTACTTCTATAGAAGATCAGTCCTGTGGAAGGCAAAATAAACACAGGATGACTGTAGAGATGTACCTATCTGGCCCTAATCAGACACCTGCAATAATGAGGTTTTCTGAAGATTAGGAAGGGGGGAACTTTAATGCATATAAAGGGCTCATTTTGTTCAATGCTCTTTCTAGTTAAGTTCAATATTGAAGTTAACTGTTTTCTTTAATTTACCCAAAGCCTTCTGATCATTTTTGATAAAGCAATTTAATCTTAAGTCTATCTTATGAACTCTGGTGACTATTATAATATATGAAATGATATGTAGTATGAATATTCATGAGTAAGTACTCTCCGACCAAATACATGTATCTCCAGGGCTGATACTTATGTAAATTTTTTAGAAAAAGAAGAATTTCTGTGAATTGCAAATGATAAAGGGCCTATAATTTCACAAATCTTTTTGAAGGTTATTCTCTCCGAAATATCTGCTACAGTTTGAAGTGAGTTATGTAGACTTACAATTACTATACTTATTTCAGTCTCCTTGTTGTGATCAGAGAACACCTATATCTTTCAAGTGTAATAATGCCCACATTATGTAGACTACCAGTATATGTCACGTAACTCTCCCCAGCAACTGATGTATTTGTATAGGAGTGTAGGACCAACAAAACATTAAACTATTTATTGTTTTGTTACATAAAGAGTAAACCCTTGAAAGTTTTTAACTTGAGAATTAAAAAAAAAATTATGTTTTGGTCTTTGTTTTAATGAAAAGTAAAAATTCTCTGTTGGCCTTGACCTTTTGTGGCCTTGATACTGGTCCAGTATGATCTTGCAATTGTTTATTACTGGCCAATATGCTTAGAAATAAGGTCTTTCACCTAGGCAGTATACCTTTCCCAAATGTTTGGCCTTTCAGTCTGTTTGACCACACCCAGAAATGATACTTAATTTTAAGGTTGTAGTACTCACTTGTTTATAGGCTTGGTTGTCAATTATTTTGGACTATAATTGGCAGTTGACTAAATCAGTAAATTATGTTTGAGGGCATAAACAACACTTCACAATCTAGAATGGTGATAGGGATGTACATGTGCAGAAATTGTACAACTCAGCTCATTGCTAGTTCACCTAGTTAAATCCTTGTCTTTGAGGAAGAAAACATGCTTTACTTGTCAACCAAAACAGAATTAGATCTTGTCATTGTTATTTTGTGCATAGTGTTATCGGAATCTGTATTGTATTGTTTCAGAGGAGTGCCAATCTCTGTTAAATATTTATGTCTGTTGCTTTGTATGGTAGACTATCAATACAGTTGATGAATGGTCTAAGGTTCGATTTCAAACAGCACTTGATCATTACTAGTATAATATTCTCTCATAGCAATGTAATCTATCATTGTAAAAGCTAGAATTTCAGAACATATTCACTTATTGGCCAGATAGCATTAGAGCACTTAGGGACACAATTTCAGACTTATGGATGTGATACATGTGAACATTACAATGTTTTGTTGAAAGTTCACATACAAAGGCCAGACTGTACTCTCTTTTATCATGGTGTGTAATGTTAACATTGATGGTCTTGATGAAGTCAGTCTTGTTATACTGCCATTATCAATCAAACTTTGATTAATTTTCTCTTGTTTTGAATAAGATTGTCAATTGTCAAGTCAAATTTGTAATGTTGCTTCCTTTTTTCTTCCTCATTTTTTTATACTGCCACCACTATATTGCCATCAGTTGTCCTGTAACCCATGTTATACTGCCACCATTCTAGTGCCACCATTTGTCATGTAACCCATGTTATACTGCCACCATTATATTGCCACTATTTGTCCTGTAAAACATGTTATACTGTTGCTACCGGTCAGTGGTACCATGCAATTGCTATTGAACCAACATTTGTCAGTAAAGCTTGTTCAACTGTCACCCTTTGTCAAGTAACATCTTGTTATACTGCCAAGGATTTACCAGTGAAATATCAACTTCATGAAATTTTCATATTGAAAAATCAACATTTCTGATTGGTAAGATATGTTGCAAGAGATATTAGGATCACCGGCCACAGAATCATGGAATTGTCGCTAAAGACATGTAGGGAGATGTTGGTTAGATACATTGTCACTAAAGACATGTAGGGAGATGTTGGTTAGATACATTGTCACTAAAGACATGTAGGGAGATGTTGGTTAGATACATTGTCACTAAAGACATGTAGGGAGATGTTGGTTAGATACATTGTCACTAAAGACATGTAGGGAGATGTTGGTGAGATGCATTGTCACTAAAGACATGTAGGGAGATGTTGGTTAGATACATTGTCACTAAAGACATGTAGGGAGATGTTGGTTAGATACATTGTCACTAAAGACATGTAGGGAGATGTTGGTTAGATACATTGTCACTAAAGATATGTAGGGAGATGTTGGTGAGATACATTGTCACTAAAGACATGTAGGGAGATGTTGGTTAGACACATTGTCACTAGAAATATGTACTGAGTTGTTGATTTCAGTTGTAAACCTCAGTCATTATTCCATATTTGGTGTTTACACATTGAATATTGATACCTACTGTAATGAACTCATGTATGACACACATAACTAATTGACCTGAATTGTTTTAATTTATTAGCAGTTATTAGGCTGTCAGTATTTTGGCGTCTCTGTGTGCTACAGTGTGTAAATCACAGAGAGAGCATAATTGTTATACATATGACTAGGTCTGATCTTTTCCAGATACCCTTTCTCCCAAAGGAAATCAGGGCAGACTTAACATAATGGGTAGGATCACTATCATTCAAAGGAACTAAATTTTACACCATGGTGATAGTACCATATATTTTTGATGAGACTAGATGGTTCTAAACAGGGCAGGTTTTCACTGATATTGAGCACTCAACATTCCTAACGAAGATGAGGGTAAATATAGTTTACTAACAAGGACAGGCTTCAAAACAGAACATATTGAAGTCATTTTCTGTGGAATTCTGTGAGTTACTAAGGAACCTTGGTTTGTTAAATAAATAGTTATACCCCATTTTGAACACATGTTGATTCACAGAGTTACTGCCCTTGTTTGTGCCATACACTGTGACCAATGCAAATAAGGTCTCTTGGTTTCCTTAAATGGTTGAAGGTTAACAGCATAACTGAATTTTTAGTAGAAATGTTGATTGGGCATCTACACTTTTCTGGACAGAGGTAGTGTTGAGCATTGCCATATGTTTTATTTAGCAACAGTTAAATTAATAATGACACTTGATAAGGCTGCACAATGCCATTTTAGTTTGTGCTTGACTTCAATTCTTCTTTCTGTCAACCTGTTAACGCATACTGTGGTATAGCCTTTCACATGGGGTTCTAAGGGATGTGTATTAGAAGAAAGTAGGTATATCATCACATCTGTTCACAACTAAATGAGTATAGTTACTGGGGTGCCGTTGAATGTGTATTAGAAGAAATATGGTATTTCATCAGATTGGTTTAGCCTGACTTCTGTACCTGATCAGTTCTATAGTCCTACGTAACAGGGGACTCTCCCGTGCATTAATGATATTGATTACTGAAGGAAATTGAATCCCTAGGTGTTTACGTCCATTTACATACATGTGGAAAATTTCCCTCATTTTTTGTTGACATTTAGTTGCGTTATGGTACCCTTGTGTGTTCTTCTTTTTATCTGTACAGCATTGTGAAGCATTGTTATCTAGGGAGTGTTGGGTTAAAGGCATACCATAGTATTTATTTGACTGTAGGCGTGATTTTAATGAAATAATCTT